CAAAAGAGGAGCTGCTCACCATCTTGCCTTTGAAGGGACACACAAGAGAAGATATTTTTAATGTGTTTATGGAGTTTGTTAATAAAAGCAACTTGCCCCTCTTTAAACTAATTTCTATAACAACTGATGGCGCTCCAGCAATGACTGGTCACACCAGTGGATTTGTTGCACTCTGCAAGCAGAATGATGCTTTCCCAGACATTTTGCACTATCACTGCATCATCCACCAACAGGCCCTGTGTGGGAAGATTTTAAACATGAAGGAAGTGATGGATGTTGCCATGAAAACTGTGTGCTCTATAAGGGCCAGGAGTCTGCAGAGGAGGTTGTTCCGGGCTCACTTGGAGGAGGCAGGAGCAGACCACACAGACCTGCTGCTGCACATGGACGTCAGGTGGCTAAGCAGAGGTACATTTCTGGACAGATTCAGTGAGCTGTTGCCTGAGATCAGGGATTTTCTGAAGCTGTCAGATCATGGTGAACATTCAAAACTAGAGGACACCCAGTGGCTTTTGGATTTAGCCTTCCTCACAGATCTCACCAGCCTGCTCAATGAACTGAATTTGGAGCTTCAAGGAAAGGACAAAAACATAATCCACATGATCAGTTCTGTGAGCACCTTCAAAAGCAGGCTGCAACTGCTCACAAGTCGGCTGCAACGCAGGGACCTGCGAAACTTCCCACACATGGAGGCAGAGCTACAGCGTCAAGGGAAAGAAGTCCCACAACTGGACAGTGCACACTATTCTAAGCAGGTTCAGAGCATCTCAGCAGAATTTGAGAGACGATTTACTGACTTTTCCTCCATCGAGCCTGTTACCAGCTACATGTGTTATCCTTTTGGAAATGTTGATGTGGATGACATTGTGTCCAAATTGGTGTCCGTGTTTCAGCTGGACAGCTCTGGTGTTGAAAATGAGGTGTTGAGTCTGCAAAATGACATTGGGATCAAATCCAGAGCATCACCTGGCGTGGATGGAGAGTTCTGGAGTCTGCTGTCAGAAGAAAAGTATCCTAACATCCGAAGATGTGCTTTGAACTTAACAGCACTTTTTGGATCTACCTACCTGTGTGAGTCTGCTTTTTCACACATGAAAATCATCAAGTCCAAAAACAGATCCACAATGAATGATGATCAACTGGAGACCTGCCTGCGCCTCGCAACCACCTCATACTGCCCATCTTATGAGACACTGTTATTTTGGTTCTATTGTCACTAATCAGTTCACGACTATTGTTACCAATCGGTTCATTTGATTAATAATCAGCTCTCCTGTTATTATTTATCTGTTCATATGGTTCAGCCGTAAACCGGTTGGTTCATGGCTCTTTTCAGCTTTTTTCCCTCCCCGTTGAAGTTTTCCGGGGCGTTCATGTATTCAGAATGCATAGTTACACAACATGCGTCTGTGCATGGCACACATAATTACGCAATGCGTAATTACGCATATGGGAGCTGAGTGACGAGACGTTTTTTGGGCAAGCTTCTGCTTCATACGGTGTTTGAATGGACCCAGTGAGGCGAGGACAACATCCGCTTCGCCCTTAACCCATTAAGCGACAGCCTTAAAGGGCGAAGCCTATACAAAATAGAACGTTGGTTACGTACTGTAACCCCAGATTCTATGAGTATAGGCGTAGCCCTTTAAGCGTCGGGCCTCACTGGCTCCTAAATGGCTGAATAAAAAGCTATTTTTGGGAGCCGATTTCCCGCTTTTAACGTAATTCATACGGACCGGGTGGGGCCCAAACAGCAGGTGGGGGTGGGGTCCACACAGCAGGTGGGCGTGGACTAAATTTTTCAGTGTAATGCTCCGCATAACGGGATAAACCCACTAAGCGACAGCCTTAAAGGGCTACACCTATACTCATAGAATCTGGGGTTACAGTACGTAACCAACGTTTTATGGTCTATAGTTCTGCATATTCTTCTAGAAGTTGTCTTAGAGTTTTTGGTCATCTCTTTGTTTATTGTGTACAGAATGTGTTTTTATTTCATTCTGACTGCAAATGAACAGAAACAAAAGTATTACTAAGTAATAAATGTTGTTTGTTTTTTGTGGTTAAGTATTGACTTAAAAAAAAAAAGTCAAAGCATTCCGATTACAAAGTACACTTTTTGGCTAGAATGTTTTTCTTGATATTTTAAAATGTGAATTTTATTGAATTTTGTCAGTTTGAGGTTGTTGGGTTTTTTTTGTTTTGTTTTTTTAGCGTTTCTGCTTCTGCCATGCACACATGACAAGTCCAACTTAAAAACATTCAGTTCTAATTTAAATTAATTAGCCGTCTGTGTGAGCACAAAATATTACATTTTGTCTAAAAAAATATACAGTAAATTTTAAATTTGCTTCAAGAATAAGAAAGCAAGCCTAGTATGTCAGAAGGCTCTACAATCAGATCCATCATCAACCATAGTACTTGAAGCAGGTAATAAACCTTGCAAAGCTCAACTTTACTTATTTATAAATAAAATACAATTTTAAAGTGTTCATATGAAGCCGAACATTAACCTCATCCAGGAGCTCCTCCAAGTTCAGAGGTATCTAGACCAGATTACCAGTAGATTATCTCAGAGTGGAAATGGATGCTGTGGTCAGATAAATCAGCATTACATTATATTATTGTTGTCTTGTTGTATTATTGTTGTTATCTTGTTGTCGTTGTTGTCCATTGTTGTTGTCATTCTTTGTTGAAATCAGGTCTCTCTTGTGAATGAGTCCTCGAGGCTCAATGGGATTAATCTGTCTAAATAAAGGAAAAATTATTTGTTTCATTTTTTATGGACATAGTGTGCTTCAAACCAAAGGTACAAGGACCATCCAAACTGTTTTCAGGACCAAATTCAAAAGTCAATGTCTGGTTTGGTGTTTTGGGTTAGAGCAGAGTTCTTGGGAAAGCTCCTTTTTCAAGGATTCATAGTTCTCTTTTTGTCATACACACCACATGTGGTACATGTGGTGGAACAAAACTGTGTACACTGGGTCCCAGTTACATCCAACAATAAAATGCAAAAGAAAAACAGCAATAAGATCTAAGATATGAACTTAAAAAAACGTTTAAAAAATACACCGAGCACTAGTAGCATAAAAACAATACACCCAACAGCAGCACGAACATGAGTCTCTGTGAGTAGATGTACGAATGAACACAGCAGCATGAAACAGATTAGCAGCAACATGAAACAGATCAGCAGCAACATGAAACGGATCACCAGCAACATTGAAACAAATCACTAGCATCATGATGTGATTTTTCACAGTGATTATCCTGGTTAGAGATTTATGAGTGTAACAGCCTCAGAAGCTGTTCCTCAGTCTAGTGGTTCTACACTTAATGCTCCTCAATCTCCTTCCTGAGGGGAGCGTGGCAAAAATTGTATGTGCTGATGAGTGGGGTCCTTCATGATGCAGGTCGCCCTCTTCCTGCATCTGGAGGTGTAAATGTCTGTGATGGTGGGGAGACTGACTCCAACAGTCTTCTGTGCAGCATTCACCACTCTCTGCAAAGCTTTTCTTTCTGCAGTTGTGCAGCCTCCATGCCACATGGTAATGCTGGAGCACAGGATGCTCTCCACTGCACACCTGTAGAAGGAGGTGAGGACTGAGCTTCCCAGACCAGCTTGCTTTTTTTGGTCAGCATTCATGTAGAAAAGTGCACAAGACATTTTAGAACAGCATATGTTGTCCTGAAGAACACATTTTAGAGATATCCATTCTTTTTAACTACAATATAAAAACAAATCCACGTTCTGTACTCATTATGAAACCATGGTTGCTCAGGTAGAAGGTAATGGACTGACCCACCTTTACAAAAAAAAAGTATTAAAAAAATCCTGAAGTGGTAAAAATGTTACCACAGTCCTTGCTGTTGTGCACCTCAAGCTGTTTCAGGAAGAAAAAAAAGCACAATAAAACTTCAGCACCCAACAGTTTTTAACGATTATTCTTTTAAACTGTAAAGAAATATAAATATTATAAAGTGTTCAAAGATTGTCTGTCCTTTTATGTGTTACAGGGTTAAAATGACAACAATTAATATATTAACAAGGAACAGGTCAAAACAAAACATGAAACTTATCGTCTACACTCCAGCTTTTCCTGGCTGGTGGGTTTTAGGTGAGCTACAGTCATTCAAGACTCCTGAAAAAAAAATCAAGGCAGAATCCATTTATGCGTGAATCAAAAGGAAATTTGAAAAGATTTATGAACCTTTTTAATCAATCAAGCATAAACATACATGGCGGTCTGCAGCATTACATGTGCTGTTGTTAAACGCTGGGATTTATTTGTTTACCAGTGTCTCAAATGTGATGATCAACCAACCATTATAATAGAAAATGAGCCTTTTGATACGCTGAATTAATTGTGTATCATATCTTTCCAATAGAAATAATTATTATTGATATTGCACAACAGCGCTTTTGTGCTTAGTGTGCACTCTACATCTGGTACCGTATTTTTCGGACTATAAGGTGCACTTAAAATCCTTTAAATTTTCTCAAAAATCGATGGTGAACCTTATAATCCAGTGAGCCTTATGTATTAATTCTGGTTGGGCTTACTGACCTCGAACTGATTTTATGTGGTACAATTGAACAATGTTGAGAGTTCTTGTGAAGAAGTTGAATAAAGTTTGACTTATCTGACTGTTTTGTTTCACTTAATGCACCTTATAATCCGGTGCACCTTATAGTCTTAAAAATATGGTAATTATTTATTGAAAGACTATGAAAAAAGGCATTGTGGGTTATTTACCCTTCATATAATCTTTTTAATAAATGCTAAGTGCTCTCCAGCGTCATAAGCATTAAAATGTATAATTTTCTCATGAGATTTTTCTAACCGGTCTCTTTTTAAGATTGTATTTTAGAGGTGGTTACCTGAAACAGGCTGCTACGCTTAATACTCATGAGCTGTTGTTTTATTTGATTTTATTTCCTGTTAAATTAGTATATATGTGTAAACCTGTCATTTTCTCATCTGTGTTTGTGTGTTCAGGAAGAAAAAGAGGACTGGCGACGTTTTCAAGCAGACCTCCAGACGGCTGTGGTGGTGGCCAACGACATCAAAGTTGAGGCTCAGCAGGAGCTGCATGCTCTCAGGAGGCAGCTGCAGGAGGAGCAGGACCGTAATGCAAAGCTTGCAGGAGACCTCGAGGCTCTGCAAGGAGTCAGGTACAATCTTCATCCCGGTCCACCTTATTCTGGTCACTTCCTCCAGTCCCACTTCTGCTCTGAACATACGAGTACAACTACCTGCCAGAGTCTAGCCATATCTCCTCACTGCTTCATTTTTATATGTGTGATCCAATTTATCATAACCTCAAATAAACGGTTGTTCAAGGGGCTCCCAAATTTAGTGCCTTGTATTAAATTATACAACTTTTAGTGCAAATTTAAAGTCATTACCAGATCACAGGATTAAATTCTTTGACGTTCAGTGTTCAGGTTCAAGAGATGTGGCAGACTCTGATGGTCTCTTGCAGTATTTTCCTCTGTATATTCTTGTCCTTTGAGCTGCCGCCCTTTCTGTTTCTTCCTTTGACATGTACCAGTGGTCTGTAGCAACGTTCACGTCTCAAACTCAACATGCAGTACATTACAGTGAATTCATCTGACAGTCTGATGTAAAAACAGGCTTGCCAACTTGTTTGATCCAAATGCATTAAAAAAACATCTAGTTTATGCTATTTAAGAATTTTTATAGTGTCAGTATGGACAAAGTTGTTCCACACACATGATATTTGTCAAATTCAAGAGCTTCAGTCAGGGTTTAGGTAGCGCTCAGTCATGGGCAATCTTAACGCTACAACATACAAGATAGTTGGGTCAAGTTGTGTTTCCATATTTATGGCAACACTTTGGATAAGGCCCTTTTTTGTTCCAACATGGCTGTGTCAGTGATCAAAGCAAGGACTCTAAAAACCTGGTTTTGTTGAGTTCGGTATGGAGGAACTTAACTGGTCTTGGTTGACACCTTTAGCATGAACTGGAACAGAGACTGTGAGCCAGATCTTCCTGCCCAACATCAGTGCCTGAACTCATGAATGCTCTATAAAATGAATTCACACAAAAAACCCACCTAAATCTTGAATGAGTGGATGCTAAGAGCTGCAAATGAAGTCCAACTCCTCCAGTCCCTGTTGCTGTGACAGTCAAGTGTGACCAGATAATTTGGTCTGTATAGTGTTTATTAAACCCAGTAATATTAAAGGGTTTGTGATCGTGCCAGATCCAATACTTGAGTGGTAAAATCAGTTTAGATCTGCAAGATCTGTAAGAACCAGTTTATTTATGTGACCTATCCTTTAAGCAAATAGGCCTCCAAATAATTTACCTCACAGATTCTTTGTGAGCAATTTGAGAGAGACAAACATTTGGTTAAGGACCAGTTCTGCTTTACCCTGGATTACCAGCAGGACTTGTATATTTAGTTTCAGTCCCGGTCTTAGACCACCTGTAAACTACCAAACCTTCCCACGAGATAAGCTGTTGTGCTGCGTTTGCTCCCCACCTCCATCAGCTCCCTGTGATGTCTCTGTAGATGTCCGTCAGACAAGTCGTCCCTGTGTAAAGTCCAGGTGAGTTCCCAGACAGCCTGCCTCTCCCTGCCCTGTGTGCTGCTGCTGACCTCCCTCTTTATGTTTGGCTTCTTGTTGCTGCTTCAGCCTGTCTGACTCCATCTGTTGCTTCCATATGCTGGCTGACTGCACCCTTAGGACGTTAATACCTTCTGGGTTTGCTTTTCCTGGCTCTAAAAACCTGCAGTCTAAGCAGATGTATGTAGTGCCACCTGCTGGTTAACTGGGTAAATAACCCTCCTACTTTTTTAAAAAGCAGGATGATACGGCTGCACTGGCATGACTGGACTGAACTCATGCTTTGTGTTATTTGAAACGGATACATTTCCAAAGCGTCTTCATCACAGGGTGGCAGTATTGGCAATATGAGTGACTGCCATTCTTAAGAGGTGTGCATGGAACAGAGTTAAAGAAATAAATGCCCAGAGGACTGGCTTTAACATTTTTACTGTGTAAAGTAAAAAATCAAGTGTCTTCGTTATGACGTTTACTGAAGACTGTTTTTTTTCTTTACAGAATAAGCAATGGAGCCACTTTTGATACCAAGACAGCAGTTGAAGGCCACTAGTGAAGAATCGTCAACTCATCGTCTGAAGACAGCGTTATTATTCCACTTATATGTTTTGTTTTGTTTTCACACTATATAGAGCTGAACCAATGTCACTGTAAGTCACTGTACAAGATGGATGCAGTACACAAAGGACATTTATGACCAGGTTTCATTCCTCTGTATGTTTTAATTTTCTGAAGGATTTTAACAAGAAAATACAACTTTAACTTGCCAGTGAATGTACTCTGTGCATGTACTGTAGTTCTCCTGTGATATGGACGTGCCACACTCTTTACAGACGACAATGTGTGGAAAATTATTTGTGCCTTTCAGAAATTTAAGATGCTTGAAAAAGTAGAGTAGGTTGCAAAACTAATCACCCACTTGGTATTCTCAATTTTGTTGCCTTACAACCCAACCGGGGGGGGGGGGGGGGGGGGGGGTTCCTTCCAGTGCATTTACTTGTTTCTCTTTAAACCACCTGAATGTTGCTTTAGAGGTATTTATAAGATCATTGTCCTGCGTCCCAGTCTCTGGAAGACTCAGTTTGTGCTAAAGAATTTCTCTGATTATTTCTCTGACCCGTTTCTCAAGCTCTGTCGCTGAAAAAACACACCCACAGCATGATGCTACCACCACCATGCTTCACTGTATGGATGGTGTTCTCGGTGTTGTGAAAGGTATTGGGTTTGTGACAGAGGCGATGTGCTTGATGGCAAACTTCATTATAACATTGCCTCTGACCTGTCTGGATAATTCCTTGGTCTTCATGATGTCTCTTACTCTGCAGTAACCTGCACTACTCAAAGGTGCAATACCGCTTTTGAATCCTGGAGCTATCAGAACAAGTGTTTATACAAGTGGTGCGTGAGTTGCCAGTGGTAAGTCAGACCCTTTAGGGTGAGAGTTGGACTCTGCCACGTCTACCTGTTGTCACTGATTCTGTTTATAACTTATGCACATAATTTTTGGTGCATCCAGGGGTCAGAGGGAGTCCAGTTTTGCTGATGATGTGGTCCTGTTGGTGTCATCGTGCCGTGATCTTCAGCTCTTATGAAGATCAGCACCTCTAAATCTGAGGCCATGGTCCTCATGCATGGATTGTCCTCTCCAAGTTGGTATTGAGGTTCTTTCAGTTTTGTTCAAGAGTGAGGGACGAATGGAGTGTGAGATTGATAGATGGATTGGTGCAACTACCACAAAATTGCGGACTTGTGCTGGTCTGTTGGGGTGAAGAGGGAGCTGAGCTGTAAAGCGAAGCTCTCTTGTTTGGTTGGTCTACATTCCTTCCCTCACCTATGGTCACAAAGTTGTGTAGTGACTGAAAGAACAAGAACGCAGATGCAAGCGGTCGAAATGAGTTTTCTCCATCGGGTTGATCTCTACCTTAGCGATGGGGTGAGAAGTTAGGTTATCTGGGAGACACAATGAGTAGAACCGCTGCTCCTCCACATCAAGAGGAGCCTGTCGAGGCGATTCAGGCAACTGGTAAGGAGGCCTCACTAGGGAGGTTTTATGGACATGGTCAACTGGGAGGAAACCCCTGGAAGACCCAGGGCATGCTGGAGAGACATGGTCTCTCGACTGGACTGGAATGCCTTAGATAATGAATGGATGGATGGTACCTTTTACACTTTTGCAACCCACTGTAGGACCGACTTTTAAAAAGTTAAAACTGTAAGAAATCTGTCCAGTACAGCATGTTGAGAATTCTCAAGTTTGCTTAAAAAACTGAGTCTGAAACTTAACAAAATTCACACTTATTGAAAGAGCAACCCACAATATAGTCTATTCTATTATTATTGTAGATGGCACACATTTATATGTTTGGCCCTAATATAATCATAATATAACCATCTAAGTGTGCCTGACTTCACCTCTGATGATTCTGTTTACACTGGTTTTTGGTCTGCAGTACCAGTCTTAATTTAACATTT